CTTTCCTCAAGTGTGGAGAGCCCTGGTCTGAAGGTGATTCTCCAAGAATCGGCTCCCCTGCCATTTCTCTTCAATGGCGCCAGACAGGGCCAACCGCATCCAACGGCTGCTAACAATCGGGCTCTTGTTTCTGGAAATGAAAAGGACTGAACAGGAGCTGGGCTGTGTCTCACAAGCACAGGACGGTTAATCCCCTTACCGTGGCTACAACACCATGTTGTTCCTTTATAGATCACAAGACTTATCCTTGAATAACTTGGCAGAGCAGGAAATCCATTCTATGCCCTACACCATTAACTCAAACAAAATACCATGCCTGAATTAGACTTCTACCTCTCTTGCTAAAAATGACACATTACCTTAAAGCCAATATTTGAGTAAACTAGGCAAATAAATTTCCCAGTTTATCTGGGAAACACACTAAAATTTAAACTTAGAGTCTTATTTTCCATACAAATGACTTTCAACATTTTAAAATTCCTGGGAAACTATTTTAGTAAATATGGCCTAAATCTTATTGTAAAATCTTGAAAACACATGGGTGCTGTTTTCAATAGAAATTCCAACTTCAAGTAACCTCACATAATGAATACAGAACACTATCATTTAAAATTTTTTGTCTATCTTCCATTCTGCTTTTAAGAATGTCCAAAAATAGCAAGAAAACCACTTGATATGAAGATTTGCAAAAATCACATTTAGTCCATCCTCCTATAATTTCTACCAGGGGCAGCTTCTTGGGTGTGGACCCTGCACTGTGTAGAATGTGCTTTTACCCATCATTTAAATCTCAGGGCCTAGCACATAATAGCCTTTCAGTAAACGTTACGGAATTCTGTGACTACAACCACAGCAATGCAGTTGAACAGGCTGGCCTCGGTAGACCACAATAAAGAAAGAGGATCATGTTTCTCACACCATTGCTTTTGGGCACTGCGTCACCTCTTGTTCCGCCACTCCTTGATGGCATCTGGTGCAGATGGGTAGCTTTCCTGTCACTTCTAGCTATTAAAAAGTTCAGAGCAGTCTGATCAAACGTCAGATCAAAGCTGTCTTCCTGCCTCTGACACACAGCTTCTCTTCGAGGGGTGCTGGCCTGAGGGTCTGCTCCATTCTTTTACTGTCAGTGCTCCATGTCCTCCTGCGCATCACCCCTCACCACCCCCATTCTTGCTCATTTAGGGATGGAAAAGGGAAATGGAGATGGCGAGGGTGGGCGTCAGAGAAAAAAAAGGCAAAGTTCTTTTTCTTGCCAGGGCTCCATGTGGGCCCTCTCGCTGTTACATCCTCTGACTTGGTGGGTGCCCTCGTGTTCTCCATCCAGAGTGCGTTTGTGGGGCCTTTGGGGACCTGTCTGGGGACCTCTGCACTGCATCTTCCCCTGATGTGGACGAGGCACTCTGACCAACATGCTCCATCTCACACTCTGCTCTGTCTCCAAGGTGACTTCCAGCCCGGCTCTGCCGCCTTCTCTCCCCCCTGCAGTCGGTTCTCGGCCCCAGCGGGCAGTGACTCCATCCAGCTCCCATTAGCAGCCTCCACTTGGTCCCAGGAACACCTGAAGTACAGACTGCTCGCAGAGCTACCCTCTCTCACCCCGATCCCAGGAGGCTCAAGCCAGCCTTGCACCTTTAGACAGGTCTGGCTAAGAGGCGGGCACCAGATTCCGTCCCACAGTACACTCTCAATGACTGGGGACAGCCTCATAATCTCTAGAACTCCAGGTGCCTCTGCTCTGGTGGCAGCTTGAGATGTCCTGACAATGTCTGCAAGCTGGGAAACATCCAACCAGGAGATAAGACGCCAGTCTCTCCCCTCACAGACAATACCACGCTCTGTGAGCAGTTCTCTGCCTGACTTGAGGCTGGCAGGGGAACGGGCAAGGCTGTCACTCTTATACACACAACCCCTGGTGCAGCACGGGCACCAACTCATCAGCATGGACCCAGCTTTAAGCCCCCTGCTTGGATGCATGATGTCTACGCACCAGAACCAACCCCCATCCCTGTGCTATGGGGGCAGGGGGAAACACCAGGGCCTCTCTGCCGGCCCACATGCTCCACCTGGCTGACCCTCCAGCCTCCTCTTCCGCTGCCTGCCCGGGGGTAGTGGTGACTGCACCAGTTCAGCTCTCTTTAGAGTCAGGGTTACACTGGATCAAGAATATACCAGCTGTAAGTTTCCAAATATGCATGGACATCCTCAGGAGATGCTGAGCTCTCTGTCACTGGAGGTGATCGAGCTCAAGGAAGGAGATACTGTAGTAAGGACCAGACAAAAGAAGGGATGAAAATGAGAGTATTCATTCTTCCGTTTACTTCTGGACTATCTTTAGTGAGTTACTCTTACATTTTCAATTCAGTGCATCTCAGTATTTTCAAGTTTTCTGTAACATTCATAGAATAAGCAACAATGGGGTAGACAAAACAATAAATAGCAAATGTTCCAGATTGGAATGCCTGAAGCCATCCCAGAAAGGGATATTTCCCACCCTCCAGAATTCACACTGCCCCACACTGGCACCTAGAGACCTCTGAAAGGTAGAAGAAACCTGTCCAAGTTGCCAAGCTGCTGGTGGCTTCCACCCACCCACCACGTAGGGTATGGCTGCCTTTCTGCAAAGCTGTCTTCATCCAGTCAAGCATTTCATGGTGCCCTTTCCTACAGGGGGAGCCTATGTGTGTAAAGGTGCAGCCTCTTTTATGGCAGCACGTGTAGAAGGAGGCCCAGCACTTGAATAGCATTTTAAACACATCCCGATTCATGAGGCAGACTCATCACTCAGCCCCTGACAACAGTGTTGCTGGGACTCATACTGCTGCAGCCTTTACAGAAAAAAAACTTTGCTGACCCTGATCTAGTTTTGCACTTTTTGATTCTTTCAACTGATTTTGGCAACAAAACCCTCTATATAGCTTGTGCACCCAATTCCAAGGAAAATGCTTTTGTAATTAAATCAAGTCAGATATTCCCAGACTCCTGCACTTCTCCAGATTCTGGAAAAATATTTTTTTTCTGAAATGAATTCGTCAGAATTAATCTGAAATGTTTAAGCGAACTTTTCCTAAGAATGGGAGCATCTGATTTAACATAGTCATTTACAAGGTGAAATTTAGGCACTTAGAGGAAGTAACTGCACAATGAATACAGCAACACATAAAACTTGCTGAACAAGAAGGACTAGAAGACGAAAGAGACTAGCTGAGGGATTAGCATTGTGAGGTAACCAGGAGCTTTTTTTCTTTTATTTTTTATTTTGATTTTTTTGTAATACTACTATCTAATTTTTATTGAAAAAAGTTATTATAAATAGTTGTGAAAAGAATGTGTAAGATAAAAGTAAATATATTTTTTTCTAAAAAAATCCATAAACTAGAAGTAGAGCTCACTTAGGGCATAATTTTATTTTACTATAGACCTCATTGTTTTAATTTTTGAATCATGTGAATATATTACCTATTTTTAAAATATGTGTATTTATATGTGTATACACACAAATATATATATATATAAAATATATATATACATGCACATATACAAATACATGGATTGTATGTTTACTTTGCTCCCCCCAAATTCCACTCTTCTGTTTTATTCCTTGTAGTTACAGCCCATGTTTGAGGGAGGTCAATAAGTAGCAATCCTCTTTGCCAGCTTCTGAAGCATTATAAAATTAACACAAAAGAATGAAGGCTGGGTTGGAGGATATGACTTTAACCAGCAGACAAATTTCCTTCCTCATTTAAAAAAATCCTGAAATGAGATCAATTCCTCTACACTGTTCCAAATGGAACTGAGCTGAGGCAAGTATTGCCACAGACTGGAGTTGTATGCAAGATACTGAATACCTTATAATATGCACCTACCAAGCTAACCAGTCCTTCCAGGTATATGTGCCTGCCCGTGCAGGGCCAGATTCTGTACTTGCTGTAGGGAGCAGCACAGAAAAATGGCCTCAATCTGAGGGAAGGATGGCTCTGAAAGAGAAGGAAACCTATGCCCTATTTTTCCTTCCAGCTCACCAATCAGATCAGTCATTTCACCCTCGAGGGGAAGAGTGAGGGATGGAGGAGAGAGAAACCAGGAGTGTTACCCTAATCACAGACAGAGATGGTAAGAAACGTTACAAGTACAGAAAATTCCTCCGGAAGAATAGGTAAAAAGGCAAAACCATTAAAAACTGTACTAAAGCTTTGAAGAAAATAAACAAGGTGCTATGATAGATACCAACAGTGGGACAAACCTATAAATATTTAAGTTATTTTCAAAATGAGTGCTATGGACTTATTTGTCCCCCTCCCTCCAAATTCATACCTTGAAGCCCTAACCCCAACTGTGACTGTATTCAGAGACAGGGCCTATAGGAGGTAATCTCGGCTAAATAAGGTCATAAGGTGGAGCCGTGATTACATGGGATTGATGTCTTCATAGGAAGAGATACCAGAGAGTTCACTCTGTCCCTCTCCACCAACTTCCCCCTTACAGAAGAAGAGGTCACATGAGCATACAATGATCTGGTGGCACCTGCAAGCCAAAAGAAGAGCTCTCAGAATGAAATCTACCTTAGTAGCAGCTTGATCTTGGACTTCCCAGCCTCCAGAACTGTGATGAATAAACTTTTGCTGTTTAAGACACCTAGTCTGTGATATTTCGTTATAGCAGCCTGAGCTGACTGATACAATAAGAGTAGAATTCTTATCTATCGTATCTCTTCATCAGCAACAAAAATATGTACATAACAGAAATGTAGATAGCTTATGACATGACTATATTGTTTTAATATTCATTTTCATAGTGCCCATTGAACGAAGAGCATTGTTAAAACATGACATAAACTGTAAGCTGAGCTAGATTACAAAAGATTTTTAAACTATTAAGCAAAAATGTAGATTCCTTTAAGTTAGATTAATAAATTATTTTCAAGATCAAGTTTTAAATTATTCCACTATCTCAAATAACACTACAAATTATCAATTAAAATTTTTTTACTATTTACTTACTCTGTTTTTTCTCTCTTGGGAATTTTTCTCATGGAGAAAGCTACCATTGCTTTGAATAGATATTCTTCATTTGTATCCCAGGCATACTGAAAGAGAAATAAAACAGAAAATGTAAAATAAAGAGGCATGAGGCAAAAATGATGCATTGGGTTCTCATTGCAGTCATAGTTTGTTCTCTCTCATATTCTCTCTCTCTGTCTCTCTGATCCTTCTCATACATTAAAAACTGGAGACCATGACAAATTATGCCTCCACAATGCACAATGTTCAGGATAGAGTTTCTTGGACAGTCTATCATCCCAAGTATGGTATGTTTCCCTTTGCGTCATCTTCTTCAGAATCTGCAGTATTAGTAGCCAGTCAATAAAGAGCACATATGGACATCTAATCCTGGACAAATATAGTCAGTTCCCTCCCTCCCTTCCTCCTTCCCTCAGAATCTGATTCCCCCTCTCAGCTTCCTTTCCTTTATTAACATCAGTACAATTTTTCTTTTTACTTTCTTAGCTGGAAACTTGAGTGTATATGCATGTTATGGGCTGAACTGCCCTCTCCCAAAATTTATATGCTGAAGTCCTAACCCAGTACCTCAGAATGTAATCATATTTGGACATAGTGTCTCTCTGGAGGTGATTAGTTTAAAATGAGATCAATACAGTGGGCCCTAGTCCAATATGACTGGTGTACCTATACGAAGAGGAAATTTGAATAGAAACACACACTGAGAGAAGACATGTGAAGACACAGGGAGAAGACAACCTCTACAAGCCAAGGAGAGCAGCCTGGAACAGATCCTTCCCTCATGGGACTCAGAAGGAACCATCGTCAACCTCGATGACGCCTTGCCTTGGACTTATAGCCTCTAGAACTGAGAGAAAAGGAACCACTGCAGTTTAAGTGACCCACTCGGTGGTACTTTGTTTCAGCAGCCCTAGTAACTAAAGCGGCTGGCCTCGCATTGTAGAGGAGTAATCAAGTATTACTGGAGAGAGTCGCAAAACAGGGTTTGTAGGTTTAGCTCTGAATTCATGATGACTGACTCGCAACTTGCCTGAGAATCCCTTAGGCTTCTCCATCAGTTTTGTGTCTCATGGTTCACAGTGACTCTTACAAGGCCCCATCAGGCCCCTCCAGTCTCAGTGCCTTCCCTCATACCTCACTCTCACTGATGCATTTCATAAAATGCATCATAAAACTGTTTCATAATTTATAGATACGTCTCAAGCCATCAATTTAAACTCCCCCACCCTCCTGTCACCAAAAACAAAATTTCCTCCATAGACACACATCCTATCCACACTCTTCCCTGAAGGGCCAGATGTGGTATTTCTCCTCCTGTCAACGGCTGTCCCACCCCGCTCCATTAGGGTCACTTCCTTCTCAGGATCTCAACGATATGGGTTTCGGCCCTCCTGTTGTTCAATGCTGACTTGAACCTGTCCATTGACTTTTAACCACACTCAAGTCTTTCCCATTAAAACAACAGCAAAACCAAATCACTTTACTCAATCCCCCTTCTTCTACCTCCTTCTGTCTCTCTCTGGCCCTTCACAGCCAAAATTCTTAAAGGAGCTGTCCTTACTTCTGTCATCCTTTGTTCGCCACCCACTTCTTAACTCCCTTCCTCATCTGCCTTCTGGCTCTGCCATTCTACAGAAACGGCTCCCTCTAAAGTTGCCAGTGACTTGCGCATTGCCTAACACAATGAGCATTCTTCAGTCTCATTTTGCCCGGCCCCTCGACAGCATTTGCACTCTCGAAAACTCCCTTCATCTTGAAGCACTCTCTTCCCTGTTGTGATACATGAATTCCCTGCTTTCTTCCTGCCGCTGCACCACTGGCAGGTTCACCCTCTTCCACAAGGGCTTCGAGTTTTAGGGAAACTCTACGCTCTCAGCTAGACTCTCTCCTCATGGCACTCTGTACTTTCCCCCTCAGCACTGTTATTTACTCAAGCCTCCCACAATCACCTTAGAACAAATGACTCAGGATTGTATATCTTAAGCCGGCTCCATCCTTGCCTCTTTGTCAATAACAGCTCAAACACAAGTCCAAAATTAAAGTCTGTTCTTATTTGTACCTGGTTGCCTGGCTCATAAATAGGACATCGCCCTTCAGCTGCATAATTGGAAACAAAAGCTTCATCCTTGACCCCTTGTCCCTTCCTTGTTGTACCATCCCCGTGGCTCTGGAATCCCTTCATTGCTCTCTCCCCCACCAACACATTGTATTTCAAATGGACATCACCTCTCACCTACACTATTCCTATCCCTTCCTGATCAGTGTCTCCTTTCTACTCCAGTATCCTCCAATCTGTCTTCCACTGTGGTTAAACTGTCTTCCAACACTAATTCTGTCATGGCACCTCTTACATAAAACCCCCACTTGCTTTGAAAACAATACGAAAACTCCCACACAGTCCACATATCCTTTGGCCTGACCCCTCTTTTCTCTCTAAGCTCATCACATGACCTGCTCCTCCTTCCACCTCCCCCGCACCGCTCACACCAGGTTCCTTCATGTAATAACTCTTTGCACGTGCTGTTCCCTCTGCCTTTTTTGCTTTTATCCCTTAGTTCACTTCTACTCATGCTTCAGACCTCATGGCAAATGCCAGGTACTGAGGCCCCTGACAAGGCCAAAGCCCCCTTGTACTTCTTTTTCCTGTAATACTTCTCCAGGTAGCACATTTGCATTGGGTACACTGAATATTTATTGGACAACCAATTCTCCCATTACTATAAGCTCCACAAGGACAAGGACAAGCCTGATTTTAGCTGCTCTGCATCCCCAAAATCCAGCTTGGTACCTGCTCTCAGAGGATCCTGGGATAACCAACCCTAGATAGTGGTAGAGAGAGTGGGTTCTGCAGCCAGACTGGATTCAAATCTTACCCCTGCCACTTGCTGACTTGAGATCCTGAGCAGATCACTTAATTTCTTTGTACCTCTCATTCATCTGATAAGAACAGGAATACCCGTACTACCTTCTTGAAAGAGTTGTTGGAAGGGCTAAAAGAGCTGATGTGAGCAAAGGGTTTAGAAGGGGCCCAGCTAGAAAGTAAAGTGGGTTCTCAATAAATGTTGGCTCACATAATAATTATTATTACTTAATAATTATTACTTATTCACCAAGGGGTGAATGAAATCAAACATTGGTAGACTGGCCTCCAAACAGAATACCTCTAAGTTTCTTTGGTGTTCCTTTACTGTTTCTAGCCTTGGGCATCTTAACACATTCTACTGGGGAAACTTCACAGATTAGAAAACTGAAATGAGAAATAGAAAATACCTTCTTATTAATTTTTTAAAGATTTCATTTATTTATTTTTAGACAGACAGGAGGGAGTAAGGGAGGGAGAGAAACATGAATGTGTGGTTGCCTCTCACATGCCCCCGACTGGGGACCTGGCCCACAACCCAGGCATGTGCCCTGACTGGGAATCGAACCGGCAACATTTTGGTTCGCAGGCCGGTGCTCAATCCACTGAGCCACACCAACCAGGGCCCTTCTCATTAATTTGACACACTTTCCTGTTCCTATACAGACATGGGCTCCATGAGTATTTTTTAAATTTCAATTTAATAAGCATACATTTCATGTTGCTATTTTTTAATCCTCACCCGAGTTATCTTTATTGATTTTATACAGAAAGGAAGGGAGAAAGAAAGAAACATCAATGTGAAAGAGAAACACCAATAAATTGCCTCCTTTATGTGCCCTGACCGGGGATCAAACTCGCAACCTCCTGGTGTGTGGAACGATGACACTCCAACCAATGGAGCCACCCAGCCAGGGCTCATGTTGTTATTTTGATATTTAAGAAGAATTAAAGAAACTTTACGTTAGAATTTGAAAAAAATGTGCTATGGAAGATCTTATATGGGTTACTATGACCTCTTTTCAATGACTACAAAACTGGGGCTAACAAAATCCAAATGACCACAATAGTGAGGCACAGAGCCCAACCCAAACCTACTTGCCTCACTCAGGCCCCTCTGTTCTACTATGCTTGGTTGAAATGTTCAAGGATGCAAAACTGTTTTGTGTAATACAAAACTTCACGTATCCCCTAGCATACACTGTAGATAAAATATTTTAGGCAACATCATTTTCTTAACAATTTCTATTTTAACTACAATTTTTTTACTTGTAGAAAATATCAGATTTGAGGTCTTTAGAAGCAATCTATACAACTTTAAGATAACTGTGCAGAGAGAGTTATAATCAGACAAAGCACAGTGTTATTAGTAAACAAAATGTAATATGAACATGCAGGATCTCTACTTACTGCTTTATCTCCCAGAGCTGTTTTGATACTAAGTCTCACTTTAAAGGCATTTTCTGCACCTGCCAGAAAGGGAAAAAAAGGCAATATATAATAAAATCTGCCAAAACAGAGTCTAATAAATCCTAATATTTAATGCCAATCAAATCAACAAAATATATAACTCCAATTATACTGCCCCAAAAATTCCTGAAAGTTTAACTGCAATCACCTTAGATGGTTAAATTTTTCTTTCAAACTCATAAAACAATCAGAGGCTCAACTTTCAAGCCACAAGACGTCTACAGATTTAGAAAAATAAAGAGGCCTTTCAGTTAAAGACTTATCGAACATTAGAAAACTATTAATCCATTTTTTCAGTTTCAAGACTACATACCTGGTTGACAGAGTTCGGCATGAATAGCAGTCACCAGAAAAAAGAGCAGCCACAACATTCTTTCAGAGAGGAAAACACAAAGCAAACCAAGGGAAAAATAATCCACCCTCCACTTAAAGCTGCCTTACCCATTCTGTGATCTGGATTAGAATATCAGAGAAAAAAAGCAAGCCACCAGCTAGAAGGTTTAATGATTAACCCCCACCACTTGGGTTAATACTTTGATAGAAGCAGCCCATCTCCTGTCAGTTATTTACAAAAACCCAAACAGGTTAGCTGTCTTTTGCAAACTCTACCTTGAAAGAATGTTTCCTCTGCTGACTCAAAGGCTGAATCCTCCCCCGCCCCCTTTCTTGTGTGGTTCAGTGTAGGGTGAAAAGGATTGAGTCCTCTCTGGAAGTTTTCCTTGGCATGAACTCTCCATCTTTTCAGGCCTAAAGTATCTGGCTGACAGACAAGCTCTCCTAATTTGGCAACCTACTATCACTCCTTTCTATGTCTGGTGAACAAAGGCCTTGCAAGACTGGCCTTACCTGACACACTCCTGCAGGTAAGCATCCTAGCAGAGCTTCCAATCCAAAGGGAATAGTTTTGGTCAGCCCTAAGGTATGGCAGTTGCGTACAATCAAAGCTGATGATATAGAGCAGTGCTGTCCAATGGAACATTCTGTGGTGACGGCAATGTTTCATGGCTACACTATGCGATAGGGTAGCCAGTAGCCATGGTGGCTGTTGAGTACTTGCCGTGGGGCTAGTGCTGCTGTGAAATGGGATTTTTGATTAATTTAAGTAGCTGCATGTGGCTAGTGAGTACATTGGTCAGTGAGGCTACGGAGCAGTATTTAAGAGCTACCTATGTACCATGAACTAGGTCTACCGGGTCCTTTCTGTAACCCTCCAAAAAGCAATTCACAGGTGCTGTGATTTTAATTACCTTACAATGAGGAAATCAAAGTGTGGGCGTTCAAGGCATTGGTGACAATGGGAGGGGTGGAACACGTGTCACTTGAACTCTCTCCCCACTACACTGAGTCACACTTCATCTCGGGTCATGACTGGTAAAAGTTAAAATTGCAGCCAAGTTTCAGAGATGCTCTGAGTAAGATGAAGACTAGGAAAGAATCTTTCCCTGGTGGGCACTCTCTCTAGAGGCCAATAGAAGCCCGCACCGTGGGTCGATGTCACAGCTTTCCTCTCTACTATGCTGGCTCCTCCTGAGCTTGGCCCCCAAAGTGTGTCTGGGCACTTGAAAACCATGAGTGCAAAAATTAGGTTGGCTTAAATAGAAAAAGCGGAGTTTTAAAGCAACAATGAGAAAAATGTCAACGACGATACTTATGCAATGCTTTGACAATCATATCATTTCCCCGTTCTAGTTAGGGTACTATTTAATCATCGAGGACCCATTTCTGTTCGCTCTCTCCATCTGAGGAAGCTTTTCGACCCCTCCTTCACCTTGGCTGCAAGCGCGCAGTCAGGAAAAAGTGGGCTAGAGGGAGAGGCGGCCAAAAGTTCACTCATTGGTGGCAATGGAAGGAGTGGAATAGTTGACGCTTGAACCTTCTCTAAAAATTTCACTATTAAGTAAAATGGAAATTTCCTAGAAGGAAGAGCTCACAGAACGAACCCCTGCAAACAAAGTCAGACTAGATGGAATTATCAGACAAGATGAAGTCATCACAGGAAGGAAAGCCAGTAGATGGATTGTAACAAAGCTGACTACTGGCATCAAGGGACAAGCCATGTTAGAGACAGAAACCTGAATCGGCTTTCCTTTAGCCTTCAACTTCATAAAAGTATCAAATGCCTCCCTTTTGCTTTTACTTAATCACCTATGCAACTAGGATTGAAGACAGTAAAATGCTGAATTGTAGTGTAAGCCATTCATTTGAAAAGAGAAGAAAATCTTTTACCTTTGAGTGATGCCTTTTCAATGTTTGCTGTCTCATTTTAAAAACATAAAAAGAGCAACAGAAGTTCTGTATAGAAAATACAAAGGAGCAAAACAGAAAAATACAAAACACCCGTAATACTACCAGCACAGATGACCAATGTTAATACATTTAAAGAGCTGAAACACACCTTCCATAGCCTTGGATCTTCCTGTGTGATGCTGCTGTTGTTTTGTCTCATTGTAGCAGCACTATCAGGACAGGGTGATGTAAAGGGAATCACATGGACCTTGTCGTCTTCCTTACTCTAATGAGATTGCTGCTCTTGCATAGGATCTGGTGGGTCACACTAAATTTGATGTGTCGTAAGCTAAAAATCTCCTTTTATTTTTAGTTTACTAAAAATAGCTTTTATCAATAAATGATGTTGAATTTTATCAACTGTCTTCTCAGCTGATCCTAAACTTTTTAATATGAAACTTTTTACCATGTGGTGCATTACATTAATAAATTTCTTTACATTAATCTGTTAGATATACTCATTTTGATGATTTTTAACATACTTCAAGACTTAATTCCTGCATTTTTCCTTAGGTTTTTAGACCTATTTTCATAGAAGAATATCATGTAGGTCCCTTTCAAGTGCTGATTCTTTAAGTTTATTTTTTTTCCTGCTCTTATATTACCATCTTGAAAATATTATAGAAAGATTTCTCACATTGTCTACATTTATAAATACTTAAAAATGCAGAAAAAACACAAAACAGAGCTGAAGAATGTGGACCATACACATTTTGGAGGAAGAGTTCTTTCAAAATTATCATGTCTTATGTCGTCATTTATTGCAGGTTTCATATTTCTTTCTGAGTCCATTTTGGCTATTGACAATGTCCAAGAAAACCATTCATTTCATTAAGATTTCCAACTATTCTTGTGGACTTTATATAATATTTTCCACAAAATATCTACATTCATTGCTTATATCCCTTTTAATTTTCTGGTATCTTTTTTCTCATTTTCCATTATCTTGCTAAAGGTTCATCTAGTTTTGTTGTTTAATCCAAGAACAAGATCTTTAATTTAATTTTCAATTTTTTTTTCTGCTTTGTGATTCATCAACCTTATTTACATTTATTAAGTCCTTACCCCTATTGCCATTATAGTGGTTTCCTTGTTCTTTTTATAACTCTTGAGCTGGCTAATAGGCTTATTTATTTTTAATGTTTCTCAGTTAATAATGAAAATATTTGTGACTATTAATTAATTTTCCTTGGAGTACTCTTCTGGCACATGCTATAAGAAATGTAGGTGTACAGCGATCTCCTCTGTATTTTCTAAAAAGTCTATAATTACAGCTTTAATTTTTCTGTATTCCAGTATTTGCTGAGAAACATATTTGACAATCGCAAAAGAAACAGCAGCCCAAAATGAAATGATTAAAAATACCATTTTTATAGGTTCTGTCAGGTGAATAGAAAGAGAAAAAAATATAACTATAAAGTAAGACATTCACGTAAAATAGGAAGGCCTACAAGGTATGGATCACTTCTAACATGCTAAAGGTAATTTAACAAAGAATTTGATAGCTCAATAAAATAGGTGGAACACAGGACTAGATACTATTGTTCTTGCCTCTTCACATACTGTCTTTACTTTCTTATACTTTTCAGAATATGTTATCGATTTAGTCTTTATCTTCATACACAATTTTAAGTATTAAACCTCCAGAGAATTCACATCAAACTTGTTTCATACATATTGGAGCCTAATAACTTATTAGTAGCAGTGGTAATGACAAATAAAGCAGTTTCAATCATTCTGAATATGTTACTATTGACTTCTGTTCCTAGTTGAGAGAATATAAATAAAAGGTTCAGATTACTGTTGCCCTGAGCAAAAGGAAAGGCACCGAGTCTCCTGAGACAGGAAAAAGAAATTGATTTTTCCATGTTTTCACATACTCCACCACACTATTGAAAAGCAGTTTCTTGGCACATACCTATCTACTGCTCTGGACGGTAAATATGAGATCATATGAAAACATGTGAATCGTTCTTTTAGTTCATGTGAGATGCCTTTTAAAGTTCATCGGAGCTGTAAAAGCATGTGGGGATATGTATGCTCCATTTAGTACCTACAATAAAATAAGAGGTAGGAAGAACCAATATTGATTGCTTTTAAATCTTGACCCTGATTATTGTTTTATTGTCACATACAGTTACTTCACAAACCTGTAACACTTAAAACTAGTAAACTGTGAAACCATTTCAAATATAACTTTACTCTGTAAATTTTTTATTGGGTTTCAAGAAATGTATTTAGCTGTGACATTAAAAGAAATCAAACCTTTAATAGCTGAACATGTAAATTTTAAAAGATAAAAACCTTGTACTTTTTATACTAATGGCTCCACTCATTTATGGTATTTTCTAAAACAGAGGGTGGAGAATTTTAAATAAATGTGATTCTTCCTCATTTAAACTGAAATGAAATTGATATACTATAAAATAAATAATATCAAGATGTTTATACTAATTAGTCTAATACTTTCAGTATAATTAGTAGGTAAAAAATTATTTTACTCTCTCTAAATTGTCAGTGTTAAGATGCATGGCAAGATAAAGTATTTTGTCTATTGTGAAAAATAACTATATTTTAACTTAATGGGGGTTCTCAGTGGGGGTGGAGGGGTGGCTTTTTTTCTTCCAGAAGACATTTTGGCAATGTCTGGAGACATTTTTGGCTGTCACAAATGGAGGAGGTGTGCTACTGGCATCTAGTGGGTAGAGGCCAGGGTTGATGCCAAATATCCTACAAACTTTAGAAACATCACTTAGGCCTTTATCTGGTACCTTTTTTCTCCATGTATTTGAGTTAATGGAAATAACTCACAAAAGGCAGAGCAAGAGATAAAAGGGAACCAAATGTATATGTGTGTAAAATCAAGCATACTCTAAGATTTTAACATCCTTTGTTCTATATTCTTATACTAGTAAAATGAACTCATTTATCTTTTTATTAAGATGGCTGTAAGAAAGAATAAGCCTGGTTGCTGGATCCAGTCTCACAGCCCATGACTAATAAGCACAAAGACATCTAAAACTCACTGTCACTGAATGATGTTTGTACATTACATTGTCCTTCTTCTCCCTGTCATTACACTGGAATCCACATTAAAATCTTCATTAGCACCCCAGTGCCTATGTCAGGGAATCCAAACTCTTGAACCTGTAAGATCTGAACCGAATTTGGGCATTTTAGATGTATCAACACTAATGCCGCTGCCCCACCTTCCTCCAAGCCATCCTGCCAGCTAGTCCCTGCAAGTGGGCCAGGCCCTACCTCTGTAAACACACAAAAACACAAAGGTGTGTGT